TGTATTCACAAACTCTAAATATGTTTAGTTAACGGATATTCTACATTTAATTTATATTTATGGAATAATTATCAATACTTTTTGAATCTAGATCCGTATTCTGTGCCGGCGATTTCCGAATAATTTATATGCACGTGTTCCCACCAATTCATTGTTCAATTGCAAATGTACCGAGTGATTTATCCAATTGTCGAACCTTAAAATTCAATATCGAAACGAAAAATTAGTTAATGGGATCTTCCTAATGCTGTGCAAATCTCTTTCTATTTCTGTAATTAACTTCCTATTTCTGTAATTAACCAGAAGCCACAGACGCACTGCTCGCATTTAATTTTCGATTTTTTTTATCTGCGTTCTCTCGAAAAAAAAGTGTTGTATAACGTAATGTTTTAATTGAATTTAATTGATGATTCGTAAACGCTAATATTATATATAAATATTTTTTAATATATATAAAGAAATCTCGTCCTCTGTTAAAATTTTCTTCATTCGTTTTTTCGAATCTAATTCGAGAACCTGTAATCTCAATCTTACTAATTCGAATTTGGTTATTCGTCACTTTGTTTTTACGTATCGAGTTTCGTGTGATAAGTTTGGTCATACCCTAAACGCGGGAATTGTACAACCCAAGAAAATAATTTTCCCCAAAATTGCAAGTAGACACAAGTTTGTATCTCGCTAATATTTACTTTAATTTTTTTTTTTTTTCTTTTTTTTTTTTTTTTTTATTTCATACCTCTTTTTCCGTTTATTCTTGTTGATTTGGATGTAAAAACCTTGCGTTTTTCGACGCCAAGCTCACTATTCCCTGTTCTTTTCTTTGGTTTTATCCGTTTTCCCTTCAGTGTTCCTCTGTGATAGGAAAAAGAAACAGAACGGAGCCACGTACCAACCCACATCGTCAAAAATAAACCGCTTCGGTTTAAAACCTTCTGGGACCGCGATGCGGGAATATAAATTGGTGGTTTTAGGATCTGGTGGTGTTGGCAAGTCGGCATTGGTTAGTATTTTTATTTATTATTTTGAGTTTATATTTTTGAAATTCGAAATTTATAAAAACTTTTAACCTTTCATAAAAATTTTAACCTTTTATAAAATTTTATCTTTACAAATTTTTTTTTTTCAAATTACTTTTTATTTTAGACCGTTCAATTTGTACAATCCATGTTCATTGAACGTTATGATCCAACAATTGAAGATTCATATAAAAAGCAGATAGAAGTTGATAATCAAATCTGCGTATTGGAAATATTAGACACGGCAGGAACTGAGCAATTCGCTGCCATGAGAGATTTGTACATGAAAAACGGCCAAGGTTTCATCCTTATGTTCTCGATCACTGAACAATCAACAATAAATGAGTTAGCGGAGTTAAGGGACCAAATTATAAAAGTAAAAGGTTCAGATACGGTAATTTTATTTAATAATTTATTTTGATCAACTTAAAAATGTGGATAATTAATATAATTAATTGATTAATAATGAATAATAGGTTCCAATGGTATTGGTTGGTAACAAATG